TGAGTAGAACTGAGAACCCTTCTCCATTTCTCCCACAGTACACAGACAACAGATTGCAATTCCTACAACAATATTTGCATAAAGAATGTGACTGAATCACCTGGCTTTCTGCTCCTCTTAAACTTACCTAGCACAAAACTTACCTAGCACAAAAATCCAGCAAAGTGAACTGGAGGATGTCTTCCTGCTTTCTACTGTCAGTTTACATACGGAGAGTTTATATGGCTCTCTCAGCTGTTTGCCATGCACACATCATTTATAGTGGAACTGCAAACAGTTTCCCACCTGTCTATTTATAGCTCTTTTGCACATGAAAGAAAGTCATGAAAAACAGTTGTTGTCGGGATGAAAACAGCTTTGGATACTACAGGTTAATGTGCCACGTTTGTTGTAAGCATCTTTGCTGATGTGAAATTGCACTAAGAAAGCATTCATCCTCAGTGGTTCAGCTTTATGAACTGTGTCTGAGCTGGTAAACAGGAGTAGGGTAGGTTTACAGTAGTCAAGTTGGGACTATAAAAGCAACATGCAGTGAAAGCCATCAGCTGGCTCTGAAAAGATAAGAGCTGGAGAAAACTGCTCAGGTGTTTGTATATTGTTGTGTTCTGTTTGGGGATGCTTACCTGCAAAAGCCAGCAGAAAAGCAAGCACCTGTAGCCCACAGGAGTGACAGTGGTTGCGCTGCAGTATTGTGGCACATTGAGTCAGCTTTGTTCATAGGAAATTCCCTGCAGGGGCAGCAGTGCCAGTGTGAGTTCAGTAGGGCTGTTGTCCCAGAGCTGTGTGGGATCAGGGTGTTGTTTGTGCTTGGTGTGGGCTCGGCACTTTGCAACCCGTGGTATGCAGAAGTGGTTTATAAGTTCTTTTCCCTGGAGAAGTGGAATATTTGTTCGGGTGCTGTCTGCTTTTCATTTCTCTTGACGTAAAATTGAACGCAGCTCTCTGAACTGATGTTAAAGATTGTCCATGGCTAAACAGAACTGAAAGTACACCCCTATTGGAAATCAGCCTGAAGCTCATGGTGTTTCGAAGCGTGCTGGTTTAGCGGTCAATACAGAAGTACTTCAAAGAATAGATGAGGAGTGATCAAAAAGGTGCGGATTTTGATCAGATCGTGTCCTCCAAGAGGCGTGTAGGAAACTGGCCCTGCTTCTGATGTGCCCTACGTGCAGGGGCTGCAGCTGGAAGCTGTGCCAAGGCTGGGCTGGGTTTGCACAAACTGTGCCAGTGTCCAGCCTTGCAGGCAAGCACCTAGCACCAGCTGCACAAAGCAAGCAAACAGCACAGTGTCTGCACAGCTTTACTTTTTCCTTTCTTTTCTTTTTTTCTTTCTTTTTGTGCTTGTTAATAGACCTGTTTTTCAAAATTGAGTTCTCCCTCTGAGCTCGTTCATCAGTGCTGTCACTTCTCCTTTTAGCGTATCCTCAAGCAGAAATCCCCTGCTCTCTATTTTGCCCCACCATATCAGTAGCTTCAGATTCATTTCCGCTGCGAAACTTCATGTGTTTCAAGTTTCTGTTCCATTTATTTTTCTGGAGGGGAAGCAAACAACAACAGTATATTAAACCTCAGGGTGATTAGGAAGTGTCATACGGCTGAAGCCCTTGCATGGTGTGCTCAGCTCGGGCACTGCAGCCCCTCGATTATGGCAGTAAGGGCTGCTACCCCACCTCAGCCCACACAGACATCTCCTGCTGGGATATAGGTTGTGAGAAGAGAGGACTGTGGGACCTGCTTAAGCAGCTGCCACAGGTGGGCTCAGATCTATCCTCAGCTGTTATTGAATTAAGATGAATGGATAGAAACAATGAGAACACAACCTGGTCTTTGTATTGAAGTGTCCTGTGCAGATACTGCACAGGATCTGTGAGCAGATCAAAGCCTTTAGTGGCTGTGGGAAAGTGGGCTCATTTTTCCAAAACCGTGTGCTCTTACACGTACCCCTTTCCTCCCTATTTAGGTAGCATACTGAAAAAGTGCAACAGTCTTCAGTTAAGAAAAATCTGACCACCAGCACTTTTACTGGTCAATAAATTAAGGCTACATTTAGAAGTAGTTGGGAAAAAAATAAAAAAAACACCAAATCAAAATTAAAAAAAAAAAAAAAAGGTGAGAATGGAACAATTTATTCCCCAGAATAGTGAAATAATAAATTCATACATTGAATTGTTCATTTTCTTCACTGAATGGCTACTTTATTGTTTCTCCTCTGTGCACCGGGGCACTGCTCTGCTGTTGAGGCACGGAGATGGCTCTCAGACATTAATATGCATTGTAAGTGCCTTGCAGATGTGTCACGTACAATCAATACATCATTAATCACATAGAAAAAATTCAGCAGGCACAGCACACAACACTGACTATTCAAGTTCATAAGCTTTGTGTGCTTTCAGATTTTTTCTTTTTTTATGGCAGGATGAGAGACATATCTTCGTAGTTTTTTGTGTGGTTTATTAGTGGCGATAGAACTTGTTTAATTAACACCAAGACTTACTTGAGAATTGCAGTCCTCCAAGCAATAGAGCTTTTGAATCAAGAACAAGGCACAGAAATCTTGTTGCTTTAGCTGAAAGTTGAGTAACTGCAGGATGCAAGCTGGTTGAAAGGATGAAGATGCGCAGAGCTCATTGAGTCGTCTGTACAATGCCCATCCTGCCTGCAAAGCCATCACCTTGGATACACTTGGATACACTCCTATGTTTTGTTAAGATCCTTCTCTTAAAGATCAAGGCTTTGAGAGGTGGTATCACGCAGAGAATTAATGTTTTTTCCCTTTGACAACAGGAGAGCTGGTACAGCAGAGAGCTCAGAGGGAGGCAGCAGGGAGCTGGTGCAGTTTTCCATCCTCCTGACAGCCAGAAGCCTGCTTGCTGGTGCATCAGGGGGCATTAAATTAGGTCAGCAGTTGGCTTCAAGTGAACAAAACCAAATGATCTCTGGATATTTTCCCACACGTAATTACCAGTGCAGGGTGCCAGGGATCAGCACTTTCCATTCGTTCTCCCTCCTTCTGCCAAACCTCACATTCATAGACTCCTCCATATTTCTATTTGTGATTTGGGCTTTCTTCTTTGAGGGGTGGACAGAACAGGAGGAAAGCAGCTCTCTGGTGCGGGATGCTTGGGTTTTGGGCTACAGGAGAGCTGCAGCTTCTGGTTTCCATCTTTCTGAGGCTGGGCAGCATCACCTCTGCCTCAGTCCCAGTCTGTAGGGACTGGATTGTGTTCCCACTGGAACACATTGAGGTTTGATCTCAGTGGGTCTCCATTCCCCTTCTTTCCGTCCCACACAACAGGAAGGGAGATTTTAGTTTTCTCCCACTGAGTACATCCCCTGGGCTGGTTGTAACTGTTTTATTATTGCATATAAAGAAAGTACAGCAAAATGAGCATCTGGAGCATTACATGATGAATTTTCTGCTGCTGAAATCTCAGTAAAGATTCCAAATTTTACAACAGCTCTGAGCTGCAAATAAGTACCTATTTGAAGTATTTGAAGAACCTGAATAGAAACATCACAGAGAAAAAGAGTATGTGGGAAAAAAGATATCCCTTGTCCAAATCACTACTGATGAAAAAGAAATTGCATTAAGCCTTGGGCTTTCCTTTCAGAATAGATTTCAGCTTTATGAAGGAGTACGTTTTCCTCCTGGACCATTTTCAGTAGAAGATTTTCCAGTTCAACCTTAGAAAACCAAAAAATGTGTGGTAGTGATAGAGAAAAGAAAAGGTGAATAAATGAAAAGGGAGATGGCGAAAGCTGGAGGGAAAACTGAGAAAGAGGAAAGATGAATTGATAGATGATTAAATAAATATGCTTACCCAGGGAAAAACAACCAGGAAGAGAGGAGTCCATTAAAGACAAAGAGATTGGGTGAGAGGGAGCTGAGGCACTGCCAGTGTGTGCGCTAAAGTAAGGATTTCATTTTTCAGAAGGCACAGATATTTTGTTCTATGAAGGAACTTGGATGTGAGTTAAGGACAATAAATGAAGTCAGGTGCTTTTTAGGTACCAGTGTGGCTTCCAGGGCTGCCAAGCATGCAGGCTTTTTCTTTTGCAGATCAGGAAGACTTGCACTAAATGCCGTAAGTTTGATCAAGGGGCTGTTTATTTTAATCACGTATTGATTGACTCAACCACACTGCTGCTTGAGGGGGGGAAAGCTGTCAGCATCAAAATTTACAGCTTTTCAAGTTCCAAGTAATCCTAGGAAATGAGCCAAACATCATAAATGCGGTTTTATTCGGACCTGGTCCTACTACTGTTGAATTCAATACCAGCTTTTCCCTGTCTCTCAGCAAGAGTTTGAAGATGCTTATTCAAAGAGCAACTCCTCTGATCCAGCAGTCAGGGCAGCTGATTCTGAGGTAATCGTGAGTATAAATATGAAGCTCAAAGAAAAATACCAACAGATACAGGAAAATTCTGTTTTTAAGGGAGCATTATGTTGATTTCCAAGATATGGAAGAAAAATTTCGTACAAAAATTCAAGAAATGATGATGTCCAAAGAGGTAATGAGTTTAAGTAGGGTTAGAAAAATTAATTATAATGTGATAAATAGATGTTTTTCGAAAACCACTAGATAGAGATAGAAAAGAAAGAGAGAGCATTGAGAAGCTCAAGGTACACAGTCTGCACAGGCTGAACTTGGTGGAGGAAGGTCCTTGAAAGCAAAAGCAGTGCATCACACTGCAAAAATAGTCCCAAAATCATTCGTACAGACATGCAGTCATTCCTCAGGCAGAATTCCCATTAAGGTCAGAGCTACTCTGAGTATATACTTTGCTTTTAGTTTTCTAATGGGAGAAAGAGCTATAAAACAAATATTCAGTTATGATTCTAGTCACAAATTGAGTATACCCAATCCCTATGTAAAGTTTATATGCAGTGACCGAAAGAGAAGTAGCTCCTTTGCTGTGGTTTATGATCTTCAGATACAAGACAAGACATGCACTTTTAGCACACACAAATATTTACAAATGCCTATCTGTGTGTACAGGCAGACTTTGATTTCTGTGTATTCATCGGAGCTTGGAAAACCACTTGTTTGAAGACTTGATTTGTAAGGATTATTGAGTGAGGTAAGCTCCGTGATGAGTTTGTCCTTGGGGCTCCTCCTGGGAGGTGTTACCCTACGTCGGTCTCCTGTCTCTGGCTGTAAGAAGCTTGGAGGGGATCATTACTGTAATCCCAGAGCAGAAATTGAACAGTGTATTTTCAGATGTGTGATCTGGGGGTTGTCTATCAAAAAAGTCGGTGGTTCAGCAGTAATGTGAGTTGGGTCATTCTGACAACCAGCAGGTCGTGGTGGCCTTCCTCCATGTGCATTGCTACCCATGAGGCCCCTGCCCAGCCTCCCCCTTCCACTACCCCTCATTTTTTTGCATGTTACGAAGGATTACGTTTCAATGCCAGTGTTTTGTAAAGGGTATGGGTTATCTGAGGCACAGGCTGTACGTGCAAAGATATGATAGCTGTATCGTGGCAGATGACCCAGCTCAAGTTAGCTATGAAAGCTCGCTCCTTATGGATAATCTCATAGTATTTTCCAGGGACTGCCATGGAGGTCAGCAGGAGAGCTGGGGTTGTCACAGGGGTATTTCCCATGAGGAAATCCTTGCCCCAGGCACACAGGGCAGATGTGTGACTCTCCCGAGGAGCCCCTGAGGTGCTCCTGGCAGTGAAGGGAACAGATGTTTGAGATGTGCAAAGATGCCATGCTTGCTCCCTTGTTCTGTTTTTCCACATTTTACCAGCATCAATTTGCTAATCAATAACTTTACCCTCAGTTAATTAGGATTTGTAACAGTGTAGTGAGAGCAGACTCCGGGCCTGGCTCCCTGTGCTGTTGGGTCAGGCTCTGGCTGTTGGGCTGCCCTCAGCCTAGCAGCACACTGCAGTGGGCAGGCCTGACTGCTGCTCTTTATTTATCCCTATTAAGTTCATCAGATGCAGACAGAGCTTCCTGGGGCCATCCAAAGCTTCCTGGAGGGGGTACTCTCCCAGGCAGCCGTGTCTCTTGGAGGCAGACGCGTGTCTCCAGCAGGCAGACATGTGCCTCCAACTTGGATCGCTCCTTTTGGACTATGTGGTTGTAAGAGCATTTTCTTACAAAATATTTCCTTGGGGGATCAGATGGACTTAGATCTCGGATACCATCCCCACTAAGTGATACAGTAAAAATAACCTATTATTCTCTGGTTCTGACCTGGGCGGTGACAACATATTGTTTCAGCATCTCTGTCAGACTGTTTCCCTTAAGAGCCATTTTAACCTCACCCAGTGGGACATAGCTAAAGGAAATGAAACTCCAACCCCATTAAGGAAAAAGACAATGCCTTTCACTAAACAAACTTTATTTTCTTGGCTTTTCTTCGCCAAGGAGAATCGCCCCTACCCCCCACCCTTGCAGCCTTTGTAGGCAGTTCCTGTAATTGGGAATGGCTGGGTGGACACCAATGGTTGGCAGCAGAGGGGGATAAATCCGACATCCCTTGAACGTGACATGGACTGGGACTGCAGTCCCAGGTGGCTGCTTATTGTCAATTCCTATGGTACTGGTCGGCGGTACGTGCCTGCCAGCCACAGCTGCCGGCCCTTGAAACACAATTGGGTTTTAGCAAGACTAGATAAGAGGTACACAGCAAAGCTGGGCCGTTGCTAATTTTGTGCAGGCATTAGATCACTACTGTACTGTGACCCACTAGCCAGAGCTCGTGACTTGCAACAAAACTGTGGTGGTCTTTTGGCATCAGGTGAAACAGCCATCCCAGAAGCAAACATGGGTTTGAGGATTTGCCATTTGCATGCTAAGAGAGGGATCACTTCTGTCTTCACCCTCTAGCTAAGGCTGATACAAAATTTACACTCAGTAATTACGTTTGAGAGCATATCCATTAATCTGGGGTGTTTTAAGACAAATTACAAATATCTTCTTAAAATGCAGACCCATGCAGTTACAAAGCAGGCATCTGAGAAAGCATCTTTTCACACGTGGTGTGCAGGTAATTATGATGAACCACAGGGCGATCAGCTTGTTCCAGGGAGAGTTAGGGTTACAGATTGAGAAATGCTGCACTTTCTGTGTAACACCGAGTAGCATTTGGGTCAAAGTCAATCTACAGTGAGGAGGATTAGAGCTGGCAAAAAGTAAGTAAAGAACTCTCTATTGCAGGATAAAAATTGATCGCAAAAAATTGCAGCCCAAGCACAGTTTTTCATCTTAGAGGAGGCTAATATCTGTAGTTCCCCTTGTTTTCTGACTTGCAGGTTCTCAACGTGCCCAGTGCCCTGTTTCAGGATATTTCCAGTACCAGTCCCTGTGGGAAGCAGTTAAGCTCCAGTTTCAAACCTTAATCCTGCAGGGATCTATAAATGTGTGTGTCTCTTTGCCCCGTTAAGCAGGTTTATGGCTATCCCAGCAGCTCACCAACAAATTCTGACAAACTAAAGAGTGCCCTAAGCACTAGGTGTGAGCTGTGCGCTTTTGCACACTTTCTTCCTCTGCTGATGGGTGTTTCAGTAACCCCTGTGAAGAACAGCTTCTGTGAGAGCTCTTACAGCCTCCTTTCCTCAGCCCTGAATAGTGTGTCGCCTGATGGTTATGACATTCTCCTGCCAGATGAAAGATATGGATTTGAGCAGCACAGGCAGCAAAAGGAAGTGAAATTAGATTTTCTCCATGCTAGCTTGATGTTCCTTTGGGGGCAGCATCAATCAGCTTGTCAGTGCCTCCTTGAAGAGAAGTGTGCACACCTCCTTTTTGATTTCTCCCACAAGTGATGACTGTAGGGGATGCTCCCAAGTGAAGCCTGTCTGGGGCTGGCAGTAAGGTGCCAGTGTCCCAGGGAGGTGTAGGCTGGTGGATCCCTCTTGGCTGAACATTTCCCAATACTAGGAGCATGAGTTAGCTGTGAAATAATTCCCCAAAGCAGCTAGGTGCCTGAAGGCTCATGCAGAGCTGGCTTTACAGTTTGCATTTAGTCACTGCACTGCTTTGCCCTGTGCCTTCTCTCTAGCAGGAGTCAGTAGGAGTTGCTGGAGAGGACCTGGTGTCCAGCCCCATACCCATAGTGGGTGATGGAGATCCACCACTCTGTTGGTAACTTTCTCCTCCTGTGAGCTCTCTCTGCTGTTAACTAAGAGGCATTGCAGTTGCCTGTAACTGCAGTCAGCAGTGGTCTATTTTAAAAACAATAGAAAGTCATAATGATTAGCACTGGGGAGATTAAAGTTCCTTTTTAGATCATGGCCTGATAGGCAACTGCTGTCGCAATAAGTGCTTTGCGAAGCCCACAGATACATCAGTGGGTGAACTGGAGCTGCTGTGATGCTGAAATGTTAGCCTTCTGAATCTTTCCGTGGTGCATGGAAAGATTTACGGGTACAGCGATGCATATCTATCTCAGAATCATGTTCGGATTAAAAACTTCCTGCAGAGCTAATGTCAGCACAGGTTTCAGGTCACTGCTACAAGCTAAATCAGGTTAGAGATCAAAACCAGCAGGCAGGTAGGAGGCTTGCAGCTATCAACTGGGATAATCTGAGGCATGATTTTTTATGACTGCACCTGTAATGACATGTACAAGCAGGGAATGGTTGTGGTCTGGTATAAACTTGCTGGCTTGCCTGGATCCAGTGAAAATTTCACGTGCTTTTCAGCATCAAAATACTATGCAAAAATAGCTGGTCGAATCCAGCTGAAGTCACTTGGGTTATAATGAAGAATGAATTGGCCTTGTATGCCTGAGTTCAGGTTTAACATACAAACTACAAGCTATTCCTACATTACTTTCATTAGGCAATCTGTGTAAAGAGACACTTGTTAGATATAATAATTCTAGCTGTTATTATTTACTCAGCCTCTGACTTTTGTCTTTTACAAATTAAATATGTAAATTGTAAAGTAGGCAACTTGAATATGGTTTGAGTTTTGCATCAGGTGACTCATGCCACTGGATTTTTAATTAACTAAGAAGCCATCATTTTTGGCAAATCGTTCAGTTGCTGCATAGGTGTGATAATTGAATCTAGAGGTTTATTTTTGTCCATTTATTGATGCCGAGGGAAAACAGCATAGTTATGAAAATGGAATCAGCTGCAAAGGTTTGTTCAGTTCCTGTAGGCTGATTGGGACAAATGACTTTCCATTCCAGTTTTTATGAATATAGAGTTTTCTGAAAGCTTTACAGCACTACAGGGAAAGGAAATTGCAGGCAATAAATGATGCAGGATGGTTTTGTTATTGGGAAATAGAGGTTTTATCTGAAAATGTGAGAGGTACTGTTCTGCTCTATTTCACTTTTTTGAGCAGGAATCAGATGCAGTGATTTGTACCTTATTACGGACATGGAAGCAGCTTGAGAACATTTGCCTGTATTGCAGACAGAATCTGGTGCAGTCAAAGCTCAGTGCGGCCATTTGCTGTGCAGCTTTGCTGCATTGTTGTCTGTGGCCAGCAGGTAGGCAGTGGTGTCAAGCGTTCGCTGTCCCCTGCATTGCAAGGACAGCAAGGAGGTGGCCACAGAGTCCCACGATGGTTTGTTTATTTGTCTTGGTCAGTGCAGGCAGCAGGTGTATGTATCTCCATACCTCAGTCTGATAAATAACACTGTTTTTTTGTGGAACCGAGTTTGAGTAAACAGCTCTTGCAGCATTAGACAGCCCTACCTGTCAAGACCTTTTAATGAACCCAGTGTATTTGTTTTTTTCTATGTAGAAAGCAGAAACATGGCAACAAAGGAAAAGCTTCAGTGCTTGAAAGATTTCCACAAGGACATCCTCAAACCTTCCCCCGGCAAGAGCCCGGGGACGCGGCCTGAGGATGAGGCAGAAGGAAAGCCGCCCCAGAGGGAGAAGTGGGCGAGCAAGATTGACTTTCTGCTGTCCGTGGCTGGGGGATTTATTGGCTTAGGCAATGTCTGGCGGTTCCCGTATCTCTGCTACAAAAACGGCGGAGGTGAGTATTCATTTCCTGCTCGTGAATCAGTCTCTCTGCCTCACTCTTGCTCTTTTCAGTGCCTTCTTCCCATTTTTAAAGGGAGTCATTCAGCATCTGTTTTCTGCCTTTTTCACCAGTCTTTGGGAGAGACTGTTTTATTACTTACTAGATTTTGTTAAAACTTACGGAAAACCAACAACAATTTGAGTTTCATATGCTGAATGCTTTGTACTCTTTTGTTCTGCTACTATTGAGTCTGATATGCTGTTATCATAGACTCGTATTCTGTTATACAGTACAAACAGAGTTACACAAACTAAGGAGTGACTCAGTGTTAATAATCAGACTAAACATCAAACAATGGTTTCTGTTGGATTTCAGAGTGAGAGCATTCTGAGTCACGTGAAATTGTTGTGTGCCTAACCCCATTGTTATTGCAGATTTTCTTCTTCAGAAGGTAAGACAGTGCCCTTCCATTTGCATGCACCCATTGCACTTGCAGTATATGAATATGAGCAAAAATACCTCTGAATTAAAATTGTTGAATACTGACATTAAAGTATCAAATATGTTTCTTTGTTTATATATGTCTGTTAATAATTTTTAAACTATTCTGTGTAGTCACTCATTTATCTCCATTTTATGCTATTATATTTTCTCCACAGGTGCATTTCTTATTCCTTATTTCATTTTCCTGTTTGGGGGAGGTCTTCCCGTTTTTTTCCTGGAGGTGGTGCTAGGACAGTATACCTCTGAAGGTGGAATTACATGCTGGGAAAAGATCTGCCCTATTTTCACTGGTTAGTACCTCTGATTGTCCCTTACTGCTTGAAGACACCTCTGCAAATCAGAAAGAGCAATGCAGTTCCCCTTGTGTCCATTCATTCAGCTGTTTGCTCTAGTAATTGACGATACAGTGTTGGTTCCTGGAAAGGCAGAAGTCGGAGAGTCTGAAGGACAAAGCGTTGTATTGATTTTGATGCAGTCATCTTGTTAACTGGCAGAACTGCCAGTAAGCGAGAAACAGATTGCATATTTTGCCTCAAAAAGGCAACGGCACGTTTTATTCACTGGTACAGACAACGTGTTGTTTTGGAAAGCGAGCGCCTTTTACATGCCCTTTTGCAAAAACAGCTTCAAAATATTATTCTGGTCTGGAAGTCAAAACGCTTTGGCCGTGTGAGAGCTTATCACTGGCGTCATTCGTCTCTTACTGATAACACCGAAACCTGCATGGCATTTTGTGCAGGATTCAGAGACAGGACTCTTAAGACTCATAACAGAGGTTGTCCTGGCAAACAGTCGTCTCCTGTTATTCAAGGGCTTTTGCTGGCAAATGAAGAATCATTCAGCACTCGCAGGAATTATATGAACGCTACTCTGAAAGTTAAGTAGAATGAAAAACAAAGGGCAGGTTAGCAGAATTACTGAGGGTGCTGCCTTATGTATAGATTCCCCTCTGCAGTCTAACAACACAGGTAGAATTATGAGGAATAATTGCATTGAATAGTGGGTAACTGTTCCCAATTACATTCAGAAAGAACAGGTATTTCTCACTGACATGTCTCTAGCTCTGCCACTGCTGCTGTTACAGACATCCCCCAGCCCTTACATCACTCCATGCATCAGGGAGGACTTTCTGTAGGGCTTACTCTCCCACCTAATACTCAGAACGCTACTGAGCTCGATGTACAGTGCTGCTTTAGCTCCATTATTTTCTTCTTTTTCTTCCTCCTCCTCCTCCTCCCACTTCCATGAAACCTTTTCTCCATAGGAGGAAGAATGAATGTTCCTAGCTTAAATAGCAATATCCCAGGCACCCATAACAAGAAACTGTTGCTCTAGAAATATGGCTAGCTGTATATCCTGAATGAAGTGCAGCTATGTGGAATAAATAGCACTTGCTCTGATTGCTTTCACCTAGCATAAAGATGATCTTTGCTAATAGTGACTGCTGTTAGAATAAGGTTTGAAACTACAAACATGAGGTGGATACCCAGGTGTTCTGATAGCCACTAGGATGTTGTTCAAGGGACCTTCATTGGCCTTTCATCCTCTTTTGGGAGTCTGCTCTAAGTTTTTGTAAATGAACTCTTTTTTTCCCTGTCATTCCTAAGTGCCAAACCTCACTCCTGTTGTTCAATATGATAATACTGCAGTATAGTCTGTATACTGAAAAATTTTCAGAAGATGAGGCTTCTTAGAGTCCTTTCATTTTGTATTTACAAAAATAGTGATTGCTACTGACTTGACATGTAGTATGGATCTGCCAGCAGGGCTTAACTGCCAAGGTAAGAGAGATAGCAGCTTCAGGAGAACAGTTGTGGTATTTAATTAAATCCACCGGAACAGCATTCCACCACCTCCCTGAGTTGTATGGCACTCGGCCTTATCTGCCTATGACCCTGCTTTTGAAAACAAACAGGGAACATTTTTTTATCGTCAAATATTGATAGCAAAGTTAAACATTGATCTAATTAAGCATAACAGCTACAAATATCGTGCTTCTTTTGCACAAGTGAAATTGGGGCAGAAACAGCAGCTTTCAGTTTGATAACTCTGGAATTTTCCTTTCTAACTCATTCAAGAGTTGCCTTTTTTTTGCATTTATACGGAGCTGAGCCAGTTGATAAGAGTGAATGGTGCCTGAATGCATGTCCAAGATGTGAGATTGTGTAGCTTTCAAATAAATGAAGTGTGATGCTTTAACTTTCTTGTAATAAGGCCCCTGTAAAATTGGGTAGATTCCCTGCATCTCTTCCCCTTCAATCTCAGCAAGCCATAGCTTGAAGTTCAGCCCTGAGTGCCAGTAGAAGTCAAAGACAGTGGCCAGTGCTTATGTGTGAGTTCACTTTCCAGCAGCAATGTGGGAGAGAGGGATAAGAGTCCACAATGCAGCAGGAACTGCAGTAGCAAGAGGTCTTTGGCCTCACAAGGCACCCTAGCAAGGACCACATATCACATCTGTGCCTATTTCCTTTCTCTTCCCCTCTCACCAGGAATTGGTTATGCTTCCATAGTGATTGTGTCCCTTCTGAACGTGTACTACATTGTGATCCTGGCCTGGGGACTCTACTACCTGTTCCAGTCGTTCCAGAGCGTCCTGCCGTGGGCACACTGCCACCAGAAGTGGAACACACCGACCTGTGTGGAAGACACTCTCAGGAAGAACAAAACCCTCTGGATATCACTGAATGCCACTAACTTCACCTCTCCTGTCACAGAGTTCTGGGAGTAAGTACTCCATCTTCATGGCACCTTTGGGATGCTGTGGGGGATGCCAAGGATCATGCCTGAGATTTTGCAGAAGTTTAATGGGGAGTGCTAGATAGGAGAAGAGAATGGCTCTAGATATGGCTCATTTGGCAGACCAGTAAGTCTGGGAGTGGTGGAGGAAGTTGTTAGATGCATAACCACACTCCGCCTAGAGAGTATGGGGAGCCCTAACAGGCCAGTGCAATTTCTAGTTTGGAGGAAATTCTGTTTGTTTCTTCTCTGGGCTTTTCCAAATTCAGCAAGAGAATAGAAACAAGTCACTTCAGATGTCCTGGCGGCAGGGATTTAAAACAGAAGCAGTGACAAATCACCACCTCTGTGGTTGCCTCTTCCCTTGCTGTTGTCACCTGCAGTGCACTTCATGAAACTACAATGTATATCGCTTTGACAAACATGCGAGGCGTGACCTCATCAGTAAAACTGACAGAGGTGTTGTCCCATATTGTAGGTTTCTCTGGTCATCTTTGTTCCATCATTTACTTCTGCAATCCTTGAGGAGTTCTGTTCTACTTGATGCCTGGATTTTGTCAGGCTTAAGCTTCTTATTTCCATTTCTCTGTTATTTTTCAAGTTCAAAATTATATTGCATAACTTATTTCTGAGCAGGGACGACCTCAAATCTCTGAGTGTTTATACAGTTGTCAAAACATAGCAGCAGAGGAAGACACCTGTAGGGAAACTTCAATCCAAAGGATCTATATATAGCTTAGGAAGAAAATCATCCTTTTTTCTTGGCTTGATGCGATAATCGATTAGCAGTAGAATAAGTTTCTGATCCAGCTTATCTTTCAGCATGTTTAAATTCTGTTTGGTTCCCTGATGAACTTGTACCTACTTCTCTATTTTTAAAAGGAAGCTTCGGCCAATACCCCCAGCGGGAATTATGTTCATGCCAAATGTATCTGGCATGCATTAGGTTTACAAAAAATGCTATTACGAGCTGTGCTAAACTTTGTAATGCAGGAGCCAAAGTACAAAGTGCAGAGCAGGTCTTGATGAGCAGTTTGTCAAAATACACTGGAGATCAACGTGAGGGATGGGGTGCAGGCTGAGAGAACAGCTGTTTTCCCCATGCCACAAGCACTGCCTTTACTTGCTGAGTGACTGATACTTTCCCAGGTGTTTTCCTCCCTTGTGAGTGGAAGAGAAAGTAAGGAAAGATTTGCTAAATGGCAACTTTGGGTATTTTGGGAAACTTGAAGGCAAGTTATGGGAGAAGAGGAAGCAATTCTTACTCCTTTGTACTCTCCCACTCTGGTACTCAGGGTCTTGAATCCAAGTAAACAGCTGTTTTTGTGGGATGTTCAAAGGTCTCAAGGCTTTGGTAATAAGCACGTATTGCCATGACATACAGTTGCTCTCACAGGATTTTAGGAACAGTGTGTTCATCTTAATTTTGTGCACTAAGTTTGCTCACTGATCCTCTTGTACCATTCAGTAGCTTAGAAGCTTCCTGACGGGGCTGCAGAGTTGTCCTGCTGTCCCCAGGAGCTTTTGTTCCTGTAATGCATAAACTTAGCAACTAGCTTGTTTCCATGAGGCCCCAGCTGGTTTGTCTTCTTTAGGAGACTGAGAAGGTAACTGATCCCATGAAGAAGAGGGAATAGGGCTTGGAGTGGGAAAGTGAGTGGTAAAAGAAAAAGCATGATAAAAGATTGAAGAAGCCAACAAGATGGAACAGTAGTAGGAGGTAGTGCAAGTTAACATGGGAAATGAACTCAAAGGCAGGAGAGCAGCAAGATGCAAAGAACATGTGGAGAGCTGGTGGGATCCCTTCAATGAGATCCAAAACTTTGGACACCAGACACCATGGGTAACCCTACAGTAGGTACAAGGTGGCAGGGCACGCTGCTTGTGGGCTGGGGGAATTATGTCCCCATGGATGTGGAGCTTTTAGTTAAGTTCCCTCTATAATAAATCAAGTTTTTGCCCTCAAAACTCTGCAAGCTGAGCCAAATCCTCCTGTAGGCACTGCCTACTGCATGTAGTCAGACTGGGGGTGCCCAAAGCTGGAGAGGAAATTCTCAGTTCTCACAGTGCTTTCCTTTCCACCTTCCCCAGACAAATAGGTTTGTGCCCCCACATTCCTTTAGCACAGCAGAGCAAAGGTTGTTCAGCAACCAGTGCTTGTGCAGGCAGCTTCCCAAGTACTTTGCAGTCACTTTAACTTTTGTTCTCAAATAGCGGTTTTAAACATCATGAACTAAACTCCTCCCTGGAGTTGTGCCAGGGAGGGATTTGGCTCCATACTACTAATAATACAGACATACCGTCCGTAGCTCAGAGTTTCATCATGAGCAAACTGTCTTTAACAGATCGAGCTGCCTTCGGGACTCATTGCTCTTACAGGAGTATTAAAAATAGCTGTTCTCTCTGCATAAACAACTGTTGGTGTCTTCAAGGAAGGACAGAGAGAGATCACTCAGCGCTGCTGTCATTAAAGCAACGTAGATTTTACAAGGCCATACTACTATACTTTATGGTTCTGAAATTAAAAATAATCTCAAGAACTTTATGAGTACTTTGCCATCATAGACAATGCCAGCTGCCAGCCAGCCAGCTACCCGCATTGAAAGGACAGGTCAATAAATAGCGTTTAACCGAAGATATCCATCTGCTTTGTGGCACAATTAATTCCAATTTAATTTAGGGGTTTGAGTATTTGGTTTCTGAAACCCAATGCTGTTTTTATTGCGGGAGATTTATGTAGTGTCCTCATCACTCCTGCTTTGTAAGGCTAACTCTGCAGAGATATAATTGACCACACTGATGCATTAACCTCTTCATGTTGAACAACACGTGTCCTTCTCAGCCTGGCTGGACATATAGTACAGCCTGACATTTCAGTTCATTTGAATTAATGTTCTGTACAAATCACATGCTTGCTTGAGCAGCAATAAAAGGGGGTTAAGCAAATCTGGCTTTGTATCAGGGACTTACCTCTTGGTATCACATGCTTCAGGTCTTACTTCTGAAGATTTTATTTTAAAGCCCCAAACCTTAAAGGCTTACACACACATTAATGCATAAAGGATAATTGTTATGGGATAATTATGGTTGAACAAAACCTCTGATTGTCTGGTGCTGGCCAAGTGTTGATAAATATTGGGTAATCAGACTTTTTTCGTCCAAATCCCAAGAAAGACCATCACATGCTAATGGCATGTAATCTTGAGGGGAGCAACACAAAAACGAGGTAAATCGAGGGCAGCTGTCTCTGCCTTTGGGGGTAAATGGAGAATTTTAACAGTTGTTTCATGTTCTCCCTTGTAAGAGCTTTCTGGTACGTACTGCTTCAGCGTTAGCTATTCATGTCTGTCAGGGTGCTTCGCCTTTCCTGGTATGTAAGTTCTGGCTGCATTCACTTAATTAATGAGCTGGAATATCCTTCAAAGATTGCATAACTCTCCTTGTTTTGTTTTTGTTTATGTTCTAAAGCCAGTTGCTGCTCCTGTTACATTTCCATGCTGTACATCACTAGACGATTCAAGAGTATGAACAAAGTTCAGGGATTCATGGTTGCAAAGAACTCCGCCCCAGCCTGTTGCCCCAGTGATATAATATTAAAGACAGTTAATGACAGCATCATGACTATAAATTATAATTAGCAACAAATTCATGCATACATAGTATGAAATGAGTTGAGTGAGTGAGGTGAGTGAGCTTGGCTCAGTCTCTGCAGTAGTGGGTTGTGTAACAAAACTGAAGAGGTATGGGCATAGCGTGGATCCTGCTGCCTCCTGAAGTTGAATTTTCAGGACATTACAAATCCAGATCGAGTGCTTTTTCTGCAAAAAATGTTGGTTTAGGTTTCATGAAACAGTTTTAACTCTGAGACCCCACTGGTAATTCTGAGTGGATTCTTTAAGGTATTGAGCTTTTGTGAGACCAGAGAATTCAAGATAGAGAAAGGCAGCACATCACTTTGTGTGCTTGCTGCCAGGCCACAGAGAAATAACATAGCTGGCTCTCAGTGACCCGTGGGGTACCTTCCAGGAGAGCTGGGCAGGGCTGCTGGGGCATATTCTGGGTGAAACAGCCATTCACTTCTAGTTCCCCTAATAAAAAGCAATGAAATCTTAGCTGAATGCATTCATAGATATCCTTATCCCGAAATGTGTTTGCAGTTAATTCCTCATTGCTTCCTGAGAGCTAGCTCTATAGGCTGCCTTTTACATTTCATATGAACTGCCTGTAAATTGGAAAATTGGCATCTATTTCTTAAAAAGCCATGAGAGGTTGCAGCAGAAATTTGTCTTATAAATGTGATTTCTTCTTTTGTGTATTCACAGTGAGTTTTCCTTGATTTCTTTACTCTCAGGTGAACCAGGACTGCAAACTCTATGCCAGTCATTCATTACTAAGGGATTTTTCATAACTATTGAATAGCTGTGCTGATTAGGGCAGACTTACCCTGTCTGGTGCCATTAGTCCTTTCCCATAGCAAAATGCACACACGTTCAGGGAGAATAAAGTGTTTGATGTGAGAACACATTCACACAGGTAATCCAAGTGAATTTGGCGAACAGAGTCACAAAAACAGATGGATGAAGGTTTGAGTCCTATTAAGCTGGTCAGTTCAGGTTTTTTTCCAAAAACTTAATTGCAAATTTTCCATCAGTGACTTCATTCATTATTTTTTCCTTTCTAGTTGAAACATACAAACAAAAAATGTTTAATTAATTCAAGGAAAAAACTGGCCCTGGCCCTAATCCTTAAGACCCATCTTAAAACAGGAATCTTTTTATTTATTAACCTGAGTAACAGAATACAGTTCAGCAAATAGTTTGTGCTGGTTCAGGGTATGGAAGTGGTCACTGAGTGCAGGCAAGACAGTGCTTGTGTGCAGGGCCATGGGGGGTAATGGAGAGAAGGAAATGGGTGTAGAATAGTAAGAAATGTCTGTGATGGAGCTAGGAGGTAGGCAGTGCTGGGGTGACTTTATCTTAACACCTTCAAGACAGCAAATGCAAAAGCCACACTGATTTCAAAATAGTTTCTTACCTCACACTGAGGTAATTGTGGGCTGCTGAAAGAGCTTAAAGTGAAATGCTGTGCAACATATTAAGCAAAAGAGTGCCACAAAGCTAGGGGAGATCTAGGCATGCAGAGCTTAGTTTCGTTCGCTTAAGCTATTCTGAATTAGCAGGCAGAAGGCTGAGAGCTACCCACGCATGTGCTGCCCCAAGCGCCATCCTGTACTTGCAGACATCACAGCAAGACTCAGTATCACTCTGCTCATGCATCTTTCTTTTGTTCTGATTCCTTTCATACACTCAGGCGCAATGTACTGAGCTTGTCCTCAGGGATTGAAGATATTGGTATTATCAAGTGGGATCTGGCACTGTGTCTCCTCCTCGTCTGGGTGATATGCTTCTTCTGCATTTGGAAAGGAGTCAAATCCACTGGGAAAGTAAGTGCTCGTTCACCCTTTCTATAATCACTGTAGTTAGTAGATGGCAAGGATACGAAGTAATGTTCTTCTTAATTATGCTCATAATTTCTTTGCAAATAGTTGTATTTTTGCACTGAATACAGCAGGGATTTGGATTCAGCTGCCACTGGAAAGCCGGTGCCCAAAATGCCTGAGTCAAGTAGCCGTTCCTGGATTGGCATCAAGAAGCAGACAATGGCATGTTTTACTTCTCTGAGGACAAGCATCCTACTGATGCACGTAATGAGCTTGGAGAGTCTTAGGCTTACGATGCACAGAGCTCTGCACTCCCTGCCCGTGCTCTCGCACCAGCCAAGTTCATTCTCAGTGTAATGGAGTGGATGTTAACATAGCTGTGGTAGGGATGTTTTAAGCCAGTGGAAAATGCTGGATGTGTAGCATTTTTGAAATGCTGCTTGCTTACTTAAGAGCTCTGTGTAGACAGAGAAGACTAAACTTAGGTGCTTGTTTACAGGCACTGTCCTTAACAGAGATCCTGGATATTCTTTTGATTTAGGCTTACTATGCGCACTTTGGAGTCATGTTTTTCTTTAAAGGATAACAGTTACATCACCCCTGCACCTCATCCTACTCCAGTGCAAGAAACAAATTATAGCATTCTTAGCCAATCACTAAACAATTTGAAGCATGATGTTATCCCCTTGCATACAGTAGTGCTTTTAATCCTGGTTCCCTGAGAAAACGCTGTTGAAGCCATGTCTCCCTCCTAACTTTCAAACCTGTTGGTTGAGTCAGTTTTTTGGGTAAATTAACAGAGATAGGGACGTCTCAGGATGTGAAGCTCCACACGTTTCTAGTCAGCTGGGTGGAAGGGAGCGATTGCTTATGTCCTAGCTGAGAAGAAGCTAGAGCATGAACTCACCTTTTGTTAGACCTTAGGGGAGTTGAGAGCGGAGAGCAAATGAGAGCTCCTCAACTGCAGAAAACACATGATTTTGCAGTTTTATCTCCTTTTGTGTTGCAGAATCAACAGGGAGACAAAATTCTCTACGAAGCTGGTCCTTATTAGTTCCACTGTTGACTAAATTGCTTGTTTTATTGTCGTTTCTGTGTTGCTTTCTGTGATTTTATCACGGAGCCTCATTAAAATCATGCTGGTGCCTTGTTCTGGATTCCTGCCAGTTCTGTCCACACCTCTAAAGTACATGTTGACAAAAATGTTTGCTTCTCTGTTCCTGCTGATTGATGTGACCAAGTGAGATGATGGTGTAAATTTAACAGTAAAGGAGAGCACAATAAACCTCCCATAGCAGTAGAGTGGAAGCACACGTTGCTCGGTACTTTTTGTGAGCCTGGTTTCTTCTTGGTAAAGGTTAAGGTGGCTCTGAGGGATTTTCCACGTTCCCTATGGCACATTGTTTCACATCCCTGTGAATTTAACAGGTTGAAAACAGGTCTGTTAAAATGAGCTACTGGCAGGTTTTACTTCGAGTAAACCCAGCAAAATTTTCATCTTACAAGACAAAGTTGGCAGTAGGAATTCACTGCCTCCTTTCCACAGTGCCTGAGCTCATGGGGGTGTGGAGCCAAAGCCCAGCAAAGCCATTGGAAAGTCTCTGGTTGACTCCATTAACTTTGGGGTCAAACAAAAGTAAACCGTAAACTCTAATGGAGCACTTGAATTATTTGAGAAGTCTAGTTTACTTTAGCAGATCACTGTTTATAGCACTTCCCTGGGTTCCAGTGTGTTAATGGCTCTTTGGAGAGTAGGGGGAAATAATTTAAATCCCGTAGTAGCATGTTGGACAAATAAACACTAAATTATGGGGAAAAATAATAGTTGTGTTTGATCTCTAAAATTCCTTCAGTGTTAGAAGAGAATCCTTACCTGGAGGGCAAAGGCCACTTTGTAAGTGCTGTGTGTTCAGCTCTTGTGAACACATATGGGGATGTTTTTCTGGTAAGAAAACTTTAATTTATAATAGGCCTGGATCACATTAAAAATTAGAAAGCAAAGAAAACCACCTATAATCCATCAGCTTTGGTGGAAGTGGGTGGGAATGTGTAAGGCATATTATTTGTCAGGGGCAAATACACAGAGATTTCGAAAGAGGGATTTTAAAAAGGCCTGTGTGAAAAGGTTTCCTTTTGTTTTACAAAACCAGTCTGTCACCATTGAATTACTATGGCCATGGAGGCTTTGAGTTCTCCTGGTTACTCTCAGAGGACACACTTAAAAAGAAAAATGGTGCATCCCAGGAGCTTTGCTGGAGCTAAACAAATTGTGGAAAACAAAAATATGTTTTAAATCAAGTCAGCAAACTGCAATTACCTGGGGGGATCATCTGACTATGAAAAAAGACCTTTCATGGACTGTAGTGGCTCTTCACTGTAACACAGCAGTTATATGAAAAATGAGAGAAAACACTGGTGAGCAAAGAAAACAAGATGTTAGAGGTCAAAAAGTGTGGGTCTAAAGATAGAACTGTCCAAACGCATGCTAAATTAACCCTCGTGCTGGGGATTAAAGCAAAGGGCTCTTTCATCAAATGAGCAGAAAGTTAAGAAGCAGGCTGTTATTTAAAAAGAGTAGGAATGGAAGTTAAAGATAATGAAGACATTCTCAAAACTGGGTGAATGGAACCTTAGTTTACAATAATGGTGTTGCTGAGTAAGCAGCAAGGGCAAAAAAAAGTTATGGGACTGGAAATTACCACTGTTGAGGCTGATGGCAATCTGAATGTCTTAATGCCTTCAAGTTGAAGGGAAGGGAGATGCAGGAGCATGGACCAATTTATCTTCATCCAAATGAAGTGCTCCTTGGAATTGCCTGTAGGAGTGGTGTGAGGTTGCACGGCAAACAGGGCTGGCAGCAGAGTCACACAGCTGAAGAAAACCAGAAACGGTCCCTGCATTGAATTCCTGTTGATGGAGGTGTAGCATCAAGCGCCACAGACTGACCGTGTGATTTCTTTGTATTCCCAGGTAGTGTACATCACTGCCACGTTCCCATTCATCATGCTCCTTGTTCTGCTCATCCGTGGTGTGACCCTGCCTGGAGCTGCAGAAGGCATCAAGTTTTATCTTTACCCTGATATCTCACGGTTAGCTGACCCACAGGTATGGAACCAGGAGTGGGGAGCGGGATGATTTCCTGCACAGAGAGGGATGGTGGAGGGTGATGGTGGTGATGTAATGGCAATAGATTTTTTTCCACAGTCTTTTGAGGTCCAAATATAACATGAACATTAATGCTGGGTTGTATTTTCCAGAGATCTGCTTGAGAAGGTCACTTGTTATATGTGTTAATGCATCTTTCCATATGTATGTATGAGTGTGTGTGCATGTGTGTTTTTCTTTTTGTGTCAAAGGACTCTGAGGCTGTAAATTCTGTCCTGTTATTCAATCTCAGCTTTCTTGTTGGTAAGGTAAGGGAGATGCATTTTTTTAATGAGCGTAGTCTAGTTTCAAAGGAGAGAAACGTGAGCTTCACAGATGGAGCAACAAACAGCAACTGTGAGTACCAGTGTCACCTCAGTACCTACTGCTCTGAAGGAGGAGATTGGGAAAGTAATACGATAAGGTGGAGAAAAATGCTTTCTGAGGGGCAGAGAAGATAGTTTGCCTTGGTGAGTGGCAGCTAGACTTACTCCATTTTTGTAGGCTATGAGGATAAGGAGTCTCAGAAAGGGCAAGTATGGAGACATTTCAGCACACCACCCTATAGGAATCATGTGAGAAATGCAAAAAAAAAACACCCAAAAGTACAAGCAAAGCAATATGCTTGTTCCTAACCAAAAATAGGAAACTAGGAATCCTTGAAAATAATGAAGTGATTGTCACAGTGAGATAGAATAATGTCTTTCCTTGCTATTTCTTCCTACTGAGTATTTGGTTAAAATAAAACTTCACTGGTAGGTAAATAACTGAAGTAGAAAAAGTGCAATTGAAAGGAACACTGTGGAAATTTGTTTCATTCTTTAGTCATGCCCTCTATGTAAGATACCTTGTTTATAGGAGACATTATATTTTATGAATGCATCATCTTTTATGGGACTCCATCATTTTTATAATCTACTATTAGCCCTAAACCCAGACTATTAGCTGATAATGTAAAAGAGATTTGTGTGAGCTGGCAGGTCCCCTCCCTCAGTCTAGCACAAGCATCATCTCCAAGGACATATCACCTATCAAGAGGGTTCTGGAAAGCAGTGGTGGGAGGGAGAAAATAATGGTTGCAGTCTTGATTCTCACTTATTCTGTTTCTGTGGTGGTTTCTACTGATGCTAGCAGGCTTGCATTTGCAGAAAGAAGTGAACAGATGTAATTCAGTGGATGCATTTTGATGTCTATGTCTTTACTAAGCTAGTTCGTATTGTAATGTTATTTAATTCTGTACATGTTTTTAAAGTATAATCAGAAGAAAGAATCATGAGACCGAGGTCAGATACGCATCTTACACAGTGCATTGTATTTTGCTTGTTCTTCCCCCACCCCTGTGGCTTTTTATCTTGCATTTAAACAGTTACAAAAACAGCTAGAAAATTAAGAAAATAAACAAAGTAAAAGAAAGTGTTTCTCAAGCTTTTCACATCCTCAGTTTAGTCACTGTCAGCTGATTCTAATTGAAATGACTTAAAACAGAAATGAGCAGTTTTATAAATACTTCTGCATTTCCTATTGCTCTGAAGCAGTTATTGTTGCACCAACAGGAAGGATCAGCTGAATGACTAAGAGGCCAGAAATATTAAGCCTCTCTGGGGAAGGAATATTGGAACTGTTGAAGAGTTGATGTTCTTGTGGGTTGTGATGCTAACAATTCTCTTTTCCCTTCAAAAGCCAAGTTTGCAAATGTGATGTTTTCTTCCCCACCCTCCCTGATCCCATAGCTATCACCCTCATTGGAATCAATTATTTTGTTGATACTGTATAGTTTGAACTGTGTGTTTGTGCTGTGGGTTGCAATGAAGCAGTGCTGTTACTAACAGTCTTTCTGTCTTTCCCTTTAGGTCTGGATAGATGCAGGGACACAAATCTTCTTCTCATATGCAATCTGCTTAGGAGCAATGACTTCCCTGGGGAGCTACAACAAGTACAAATACAACTGCTATAGGCAAGTTTCCATCTAAGGGGGTTTAGTGTTTTAGCTAAATGATGTAAATAAAGTAGGGACAATGGGTTAATTTTTTTTTAATTAACTTGCTCCATGACATATGTGTGACTTAGGGACTGTTTGCTGCTGGGATGCCTGAACAGTGGTACCAGTTTTGTGTCTGGCTTCGCAATTTTTTCCGTCCTGGGCTTCATGGCACAAGAGCAAGGGGTGAACATTGCTGATGTGGCAGAGTCAGGTACGATGGTATTGGTGGCAGTGGTGGTGGGCACTGCCGCCTAGCGTGTGAGCAAAGTTCTGCAGACTCAATCAGCTAACATCTAAGCAATAAAAACAGAACAAGATTTCCCATAATCTCCAGAACAATAAGCACACTGTTGATTTGGGCTTTCATCGAGGGCAGTGATGGTTAGTGGGGTTGTATTAATTACTCTCTTGATTAACAGAGCAGTGAATATATTTCCTAGAATGTTCTAATCCGTTTGAGTTGAGATGAGAGGTATGATAGCCATGCCATTATCTAGGGCCCAGAATGTTCATTGACTCAAAAATGTATTCCATCTTTCTCTTCAGACTACCTTTATTTTCATTCAAATGCAAATAGCCAGTACTGATGCATTTTTCATAGCTTACTTTTGCTTGCTCACAGCAGTGGGAGTATTATCTTGGCCTTCAGAGGGGACATACATGCATATATTCCTGAGTCTCACTGAAAGGCAGAGAAATGGGAGAGCCTCCTTCTCCTGCGTTCTGTGGAACATGTCATCCACAGGAACTCTAGCTGTCACAGTCCTGCACTTGTCCTCTGTAGCTCCAGGATGAGGTTGATGTAACTGTGAGAAGTTCTTTCTGAAACTGGATGTACACTTTTATTCTTCCATTATTTCAGAAGTGTTCTCCCCATGAATGTTCAGCCACGCACGTGCAGCTGAAGGAGGCTAAATCCTCCCAGCTTGTGACATTTGTGACAGATGATGTTTTTTCCCCATGCATGTCTTGTCTGGGAGGGCAGGCGTAGCATTGTACTTGCACACAGCACAGGCAGGTTAGATGGTCACAACTCAAATATAATGAACAGCTGTGATGCAGTCTTAAAGCTAATCGGATTCAAACAACAGTAATATCATTTGAGTGCACCCTTGACATTTCTTTCTCATTCTTTTTTTTTCTTTCAATTTTAATTCTCCTGCATAGTATTTGAAAGCTTTTCTCTGGAAGCATGCTCTTACGAAGAAAATTCAATGTATCTCCTAATTGTATGACTCCAGGAGTTAAGTCTTTAAGAAAAAATATCTCAGTTGACAGAAGCTAATGAAAAACTAATGACATTGGTGGCACCACTGGATTCTTGGGTGGTTGCAATTGGCGAAGCTCTTGCGAGTGCAATTAGTTAACACTTCTGGCCACCATGCTTATTTTGATCCCGACTTGATTGCTTTGTTTGAAAACAGGAAGCAAGGGAATAATCCTATTGAATGAATCATAAACAGCACATTTTATTATTTCTTTTTTTAAGATCTAGATGGATCAGTTCCAAGAGCATTTTGAAGTGGTTGCTTTTTTTTTTTCTTGGTCAATACTTATGCTAATTTTGATTAATTAAATCTCTGATAAACAGGCAGCAATGTTCCTGTTGCTTGGCATTTTTAAGAATCAAACAATTTTGTAGCAGCATTGCATTATTAACTAATTTTTTTTTAATGTTAAACTTAGTGTCTACCTAGTATTTTTCAAAGAAGATTGGTATGATAATCCCATCTTCATAGCTGAAACGACGAGGGCACTGATTGGCTTCTAAACCTTGCTTTTGGTCCCTTGATTATTTTTGTATTTATTCCTTAAGGTTTTCTAGTTCATTTCAGTTCAGCCCTAGTTGCTGGTGGCCGGGCATTGCAACCACCTCAGCAGTTCAGTGAGTTGTTCATCATCTCTGGCTGAACTTTGGCTAAATAGTAAGCCACGTTTTATATGATAGTAAGCATTACCAAGATTATCCAAACCACTTCCCATGGCCTTCTTTGCTGCCTTCCTCAGCAGAGGTCTGGTGTGGAGCTGCTGCAGACCAGTTAGTCCTGCTGGGACGAGCGTCCCAGGCCTTGGAGGAAGCCCCATCCCGGAGCTGGGGCTGACTTCTCAGAGCACAGACATTCAGCAGGTGGTTCAGCCTCTTTTTTGGGTGTTTTCTTTTTTGATTTCTCATGACACAAGGTCAGAACCACTCCCTTGGGTCAGAAAAAAAGGTGATCAGAGGCACTGCTGTTTGGCTCTAGCCCTGGGGAGAGGATACTGTCCACAGTGGCAGTGCCTGCTGCTTGCCCTCATCTCTGCCCAGAGTGTTAAGTCCCCTGTGACCTGTGCATGACACTGTTTATCTCCTTGTTTGCCCTCCTGCCATCCAGGGAACATCAATAAATTTGCTAGCAGAACAATCTCATGGCCACTTTTTTTTTTTTTTTTTTTTAACCTGTGCCAAATTCAGCCTTGTAGCAGTGTTCCCAGCACACCTTGTCATCAGCAAGGAGTGGCTCCTGCTGGCTTCCACTGGCTTTAGTAGGCTTACACCAGAGTTAAATTAAACCCCCTTTGGCTTCCCAGTGAAATCAGACCTTTAATAAATAACGTCTGATTTTAAAGGGAGAAAGCAAAGCATTGTAGACACAAAAAATATCATAGTGAGTCCAGTTTAAATTATACTGCATTTCTGTTTGACTGAAAGAAATACTTCACCACACATGCAATAACATAAAAGCTGCAAGAGGGATTAGGGCACTTGTTACTTGTCTGTAGTGCAGTACAGGGACGCTGTAATGGCCAAAGCATACAGAATTGCAGCAGGTTTTGAGGAGAGCAGTTTTACATCTGTCTCATAATTGCACAGATAACTGCAAATGCCATCTAGTAGCTGTTCTGCCTGAGGGAGGATCTCCTGTAGCCACTGAGTTGGGGGAAAAATAAAACTTTTCCTCCCCCCCCCAATTTGATACATTCACCATTTTTTTGGTATCTTCTGTCATATAAAATCTTAGCAGTGTTTCATTTTAAATAAAATTAGTTGCTTGATTGTTGGCTAATTTGTATTTATTTCTGTTCAGATATTTTCTGTGACTTAAAGTTTTCTTTAGTTTGAAAAAAAAAATCATCTTTTTTTACCTCTTTCTCTTGCTTTTTCCATCTCTCTTGTTGGAAAGGAAAAGTGGGAGGTAGGAAGAGCAGCCTTAGAGATTTTTCTGCACAGGTCAGAGATCAGAGTTCTGTCCCCACACTGCAGCGGTTAAAAAAACAAATCATTTTTACCTTTGAAAATTACTTAAATCTACTTCAAAATTGGGAAGTGTTAAATCTTCAAGGCTTCTTAAAGCTGAGCTAGGTATTTCTGGGTATTAATCTGTATTTAAATCTGCCCTCAAATTCAGTTTTTATGGCCAATTTGAGAGCTTGCTGTAAACGCCTGCTTCCCCTTGTTCCTGTCTCCCACTTGGAGAGGGCTCCTTCTCTCTCAGTAGAAGCTCTCCCAAGCCATAGCTGAAAGCACACAGCTCCAGGCTGATCCTTTGCAGATCAGCACGAGAGCACTGCCTGTATGCTCGGTGTGTGGGTGTGAGTGGTCCATGGTGCAGCAAGAGCCAGGCTAGGAAAAAGCATTCAACAACAAGCCTTTGGTTTCCAGGGCAGAGAAACCAGGCTCTAGTCCCAACCCCCTGGTGACCCCAGACTGCATCAACCCATCCTATAGCTGTGGGTCATGTTGCTCATACTCAGTGTCACTATGGCAGGTCTGCCTAAGCTGGCCAGGTGACAGGACTCCTAACTGCAGAAGGCATTTGTTTCAGGGACCTCAGCTGATAGAACTAGGACTAGCCTGGTCAGTGCAGCAGTAAAGGTTTGCAGAAGCAAAGGAGCAGCCTGAGAGTGCAAACCCTGCTCTAGAAAAGCTGGTTTTGGAAGTTGTGTCTGGAGTGGGGCAGTGGTTGCCTTACTGAAGGCCCCTGGGAATTTTTCTAGCAGAATCCCTTCCCTGCATAAAAAAGAGTTTCATCATCATCACCTTCATCACGACCACGTGGGCTAGCTGTGAGGGTTCTGCCATTCCCCTGGGTCACCCCTTCTCCCCCCAGCCCCAAAACTGACCTGTGTCCCTGTGGGCAGGTGTAGGAACACCTCCATTACTGACATGTCTGAAACGGATGTTAAAGCTGGTGATCAGTTAGCAATGCCTCGGGGGTTGGCCTATGGTTTCTGCTTTAGTCATGCGTGCTTCGTTTTCAGATAAAAGAGCCAAACTGTTTCACTTCTGGTATTTCCAGCCGCGTTTGGATTTATCTGAACGGAACCAGGCATTCCTGCATTTGAGTGTGCTACCTTTACCACAGAGCTGGTACTTACTGTTTTTCTTCCCTTCCCCTCCCCCTTTCCTATTTTCTCTTTCTCTAGGTCCAGGCCTGGCCTTCATTGCCTACCCAAAAGCTGTGTCCATGATGCCACTGCCCACCTTTTGGGCAATCCTTTTTTTTATTATGCTTCTGTTGCTTGGACTGGATAGCCAGGTCAGTACCATGGGTAAGGGGTGCATGGCTTCTCATCTCAGTGCTGACTGGGCAAAGCCAGTTATACTGGAATGAATTATAGAGGAGAATTTCTCTAATGCTGCCTATGAGGAATTCATCTGTGTTGCTTTTTGGTGCAGGGACTATGTGTGATAGATCTGTGGCTGTTGACTGGTAGTCAACATGATGTTGCTTAGCAAGTCTTTGTCATTAGGAGCTGGCTGAGTGCAAGAGGGACTTACCCTTGCCTAAATATGAGTGCAGTCTGTCCCCAAAATACCAGCATTTTCGCTATGTTCAGTTTTTTTTCCTACCTACCTTTTTTTTTTTCCTACCTTGGAGAAGAACTTCCTGAGTTTAGAAATTTAGAATCATTTGAGTTGGGTGGGACCCTTAAAGACCATCTGGTCCAACCTCACTAGAGTGAACAGGGACACCTACAGCTCCATCAGATGCTCCAAGCCCATCCAGCCTGACCTTGGCTGTCTCCATGTACAGGGCACTACTATCTCTCTGGGCAGTCTGTGCCAGTGCCTCACTGCTCTTATCACAAGAAATTTCTTCCTTATATCCAAGAAGACTGCAATCTGTTCACAGAGTATTTCGTGCCCTTGCGATCACCTGCCGTTAGTATACACCATTGAAATGCTTTGTAAGAAATAATAGCTTCATGGAGTACTGACTTCAAAGGTTACTAAGAGTCAGAAAACCTCCTCTAACTGCAGTGTCATCACAAGGCACAAAAAGCACAGTATCACTGTATCCATAGTGGCTTCACAAACAGAGGGCAAAACCACTCTCTTTTTCAGGTCTTCTGCTCAGAGGTGCCAAGCAGCTTGGGATCCTTCTGACTTTCACATCATGCACATCAGCGTGCATTCAGTGTCTCTGAATGGTGCAGAAAGCTTCCAGTGCACTCATTGCATTGCACGCACTGTTATTAGTTAGTGACCATGAAAAAATCAAAAAGCTTAGTCCATGAAGTTATGTTACTTTTCTCACTGGTTGCTTATAGGAATGTTGAAGTAAATTTCACAAGGGAGCCTGTAAATCATTTCTAGATGGTTCACTCCAAGGAAATATATGTGGCAAAGGATTATACAGTAACTGCACATTCAAAATTGCTTAAGTTTTCAGGGCAACAGACAGCTTTCTGCACTCAAATGGAAAAGAACTGAGATTACAAAAACTTAATTGTTGAGGGTGAAATGTTTATTTGTCCTCTCTTGTATGAAGATAAATATTTAAATAGATTTTTAGCTAGTTGTTCTCTCTTACATTTTTGATACTCTGGCCCAAATTGCTATTTGTTTTAATCTTTGAACTCTAGTGAGCAACTTTTAATCACTGCAAAGTGAATTTACAAGTTCCCAGTGCTGTGTGCAAGCCTGTGCTTATGCAAATTGGAAGCTGTCTGGTAATTTTAAAAAGCTCTTCAGTGCGTAGAATGATTAAAACTAATTGGAGCACTTAATTTCTCTCCTCCACCCCTCTGGTTTGTTAGGTTTTTTTGGAGCGCAGTCAAGCAGGTTTCTGGAATGCCAGAGCAGCTAAGATCAAATCAGACCAAAGGGTTGTGTTTAGGAGCAAAACCAGTTTTCATAAGTCACAACGAGACAGGAGGCTGCAAAATCTAGCAGAGTTATTGCTGGACAACTGTGTTTTCAAAAAGATGTTTCAGCTCATGGTCAAAGAGGGAAGAGTTGCTATAAGGCACTTCTCAGCTGTGTGAAAGGAAAGAGATACTGGGTAGGAAAAGATGTCTGTTCTTGACAGAATGCTAGTTCATAGACTCCCTGTGAGAAATGGTTGGTTTTAAAATAATGTACCCACTCAAAATGAAGATCCTTTCTACAGGGGCAGTCTTGGTTGTCCATAGTGTCCCTGTGCCTTCAGTATTCTTCATGCTTTTGTACCTTGCCAGGTGAAAGTGCTGAATGATCTCTGTGGATTTTTTTATGAGCTCAGCAGTCACTGTTCTCAGTGGGTGAAATGCATCTGATTTCCAGTAAACCTTGAACTCTTATTCAAATTTGGTTACTTGGTTAACTCGGGTTACAAACCTTACGTGTGATTTTCAAATGGCAAGTCAGTACAAAAGCTGGTTAGACTTTAGCTAACCTGTTCAGGGCTTTGTTTTTGTTTTACCTGTGCAAACAGCTTACCAAGCCGTTGTATGGGAACTGTACCAAGATTTCCATCGTGATTGATGAAGTGCCCCAGAGCCTCAGCCAGAAGAACTCTGCTCACCAGTTCAGAAAATACAGGTTCAGGCAAGAGGGGCTGTTAGTTCATATCAAAGCCTGCTTTCCCTTGGCTAGATTTGCTGTAGCAAATTCAGGAGTAGAATTACATCCAACCATGGAATTAATCTAAATAGTACTTGTGAGATTTTCTAGTACATAAAAAAAACCCACCTGATTGGTACCCTCCTAACTTGGGCAGCTTGGGCTTTTAGAGGGTTTTCTCTGAGCCTCTCTACCAGCATGCCTTGCGTATTCATCTGGAGCAGCTACAACATAAAAGCCATAAGTGCCTTCCTGTCATCAAATTAAGTTCCTTTATCCTTGCGGCCTTCGTCCACAAAGCCCCTTTAGTAGTTTGCAAGGATGCTAGGAAACAAACACCAATTCTGAAAGCTTATTCCAAACTGAAAACTTCCCCCAGCCTTTAACCTTTAGGTTACAGAGAAATGCCTCATTTTCTGCAGCATTTTGCCACAGACTGAGATTGAAGCTTTGCTGTGGAGCATTTAATTATGAGCTAGGATGAAATGCATGGCGGATAACTTTCAAGTCACTTCTTTCTGTTGTTTCCCTCTTTAGTTTGTTGAAGTTGAAGGACAGATCACGTCATTAGTTGATCTGCACCCATCCTTCCTAAGGAAGGGTTACCGACGGGAAATCTTCATCGCTATAGTATGTTTCCTTAGCTATCTTCTGGGACTAACTATGGTGACTGAGGTATGTAACAGCATTGCTGGAAATTGCTTAAATTGCTTCTTTTTTTAAAAAAAAAAAAAGCCATTTTGAGATCTATTTTAGCTGTGAATCAGAATTAGCCACTCAGAGGAATGGCACTCTAAATCTAGAGAGCTTCTTCCATCCCTAGATCTGAGGAACGGAGTAATGAATTCTCATTAATTTCATTCTGATCAGCATGAGTGTGAATATTAACAACAGGCTCCAAATGATGAAACACATGGAGAACCTTCAGTAGAGCAAATTAAGAACCCATTCAGTGCATGCAGGGGAAAAAAGACTTTGTCTTAGTTCAACTGATTTGAATCAATTAAATATTCTTGAATTGATTCTGTTATAAATAATTATATGTTCCAACGTTGTTGTGTTATTTATCTTAAAAATAAAATCTGAGCAGTATTTGTATCTGGAAGAGGACAGCTGTGGGAATTGAAATAGCACCTGTAACAGAGATGCCTGACAAACTTCCTTCTTCAAGTACAAGTTCAGGCACACGCAGTTCAGTGTAGTTAAAGGAGGAGTGGAGCAGAACAGCGTAAATAAATGGAGTTAGAAAGGAAAAGATTCCAGTGAAAAAAGTCCTTTCACTCAGCGTGTAAGTGCAGACCCTCTGATGGCATTTTTAGTGCTTGTGATGCATTCATGTTAAAGGACCTACTGCTTCCTCAGGTCACTTGTTCCTATAAATGACCATCCTAAAATACTTTTAAGAAGGAAAGACTTAAGTGTCTCAGTAGATTATACTAAGTGGCTTAATTCTGTTTGATTGTCATCTTGTTTAGGATGCTTCCTCTAGTAAACAAGCACATGCCCCAGGGAAGGCAGTGCCACTTTCTTGCTATTTCTGCTTGTTAGGCAGCAGTCTCTAAGGTCTGCTGGCAGATTTTGCTGGGGCTGGGCTTGAAGTATTCAGATCTTTTTCCTGGTGGATCCTAATGCACTGTGTCTCTCTGTTACAGGGTGGCATGTATGTTTTTCAACTCTTTGACTACTATGCAGCTAGTGGTGTATGCCTTTTGTGGGTTGCATTCTTTGAATGTATTGCTGTAGCCTGGGTTTATGGTAAGTGAAAAACTTTCACCTGATGCTTTGGGATGAGTTAGTGAGAGTGTTGACAGCCAAACGTTTAATCATCAGCCATCCCAGAATCACCCTCCCAGCAGCACAGACATGTCATTAATATACATTTGCACTGGCCACTTAGAGACAAATGTGCACCTGGGATGAAGGTGTTCAGTGTTTTTTCCACACGAAAATGAATGTTTTTGTCACCACTAATTAATGAAGGTACAATTAAGCATTTATATGTGTTATGTTTAGACAGCAGAGTTGAAAGTCTGGCCAGCCATGAAAATTTGTGCTCATCTCTGAGAGTTTTGTTTCAAAGCAGCAGTGTCTGCAAAGGCCAAGCCAGACAAATAGAAAACACAAAAAGAAAGCTGACAGAAAAGTATATTCTGTCCCCTTCTTTTTAGGTGATGCTGAGTACCAAAGTCTGAGAGCAGCCTTCATTGCTGCCTTGAGATCGTAGCTTGGGAATGATCAGTGTTTATCACTGGTTGTTTCCCTGATTCTTCATATATTCCATCTACTTAAGAAAGCAGAATAAGCCAAGCTTTCTTTTTATGCCAGTCCAATTTCTGTAGAAGCAGGGTGTACCATTTGCTGTTGTGTTCTTCTCCCTATGATCTCTGTGGCAAGTTCAGCGAGACTTAGGAGGGAGGAATATGATTATGACAGGGGCAGCAGGGATTAGCATTGCACTCCTGCATCTAAATAATGAGTGTGTGGGAGCAAAGACTCCCCCAGCCTTTGAGCTTCTGAGGGAGAAAATCTTCTTAAACTTCACAGCTGTGGTAATTTGGGCAATACATCTGACACCCTTGTTTTAAATACCCCCTGGGGGCCAAGAAAGGCAGCTGTAATTCTGCAGTTCTTACATGGCTTTTATTTGTTCAGTTCTGATCAAGATACTCACTGTCCAATACAGGCGCTGATAATATTTATGATGCCATTGAGGATATGATTGGATACAGACCTGGTCCCTGGATGAAATGGAGCTGGATTGTGATCACACCAGTTCTTTGTGTGGTGAGTCCTATTCCTAGGCTGATGGGGCAGCTTTAAGCCTCCTCTTATTTGCTTCTCTTTAAGTGAAGACTGTAGCATTGAGAGACCAATTTACAGAGCTGCTGGAGGCTTGGTATCTTCTCAGACATTGTCTGTTAATGTGACTGCCCACACAAATTATGTATTAGGTTTGTGACACACAAGTGTAATGCACTCCAAAGAGCATTACTTTGAGTAATAGAACTACAAGGCCATTTTAACAAAAAGTCCCAAGGCAAGACTGCCAGTCTGAGGCAGACACTCAATGTAGATTATTTCATTTGCTGGGAAGGACATTCCAAGTAAGCTCCTTGTAATGTTTAGCAAGTGTTTGAGCTCAGAAAAGGACAGGTGATGTACTGCTGCTGTTCAGCACTATCGCTTAACACTCTATTACCAAGCAAAGGTTTACTTATGAGCAGATGTAGATGCTCTTATAATAATTTAATGGAAGAATAATGTCCCCATTCATTTAAAATATATATCTGTCAACTCTGCCTCTTGCTGCCTGTCTTCCTTAGGACCAGTGATAGCATCAGAGCCGTGCTGCTTTGAACCCTTTTTGAGACTCATTTAATTCTCCTTTCTTGCCGACAGGGGTGCTTTGTCTTTTCTTTGGCCAAGTACAAACCATTGACCTACAACAAGGTCTACACATACCCTGAGTGGGCAATCGGCCTGGGATGGGTTCTTGCCCTTTCCTCCATGATCTGCATCCCTATGGTGATGGTCATCCGCATCATACGATCAGACGGGTCGCTCATTGAGGTAAGAGAAACCACCACCCCCTTAAAGTCAGAAACTGCCTTGCAAATGGGAGAGTGAATTCAGAGCAGAGCTGCCTTTGGGGATCTCGGCAGGTTCTTTGCATTTGACTTCTGCTTTGAGCAGTGTGTTTTAACATTAAAACATGTTCTTTGGAAAAGAGAAGTTGTTTGAGGTAGCTCTCACTTCTCCTTACTAAAAGAAGGAGGGGTACTTGTAGGGAAAATAGGCCACAACATGCTGTTGTTCCTCACCGGTTTGATAAGTTGGATTATAACATGAGCAAACACACAGCCTTTTTGCACAGTCTGTATAGAAGAGGAAGGGAGCTTTAAATTGCTCTGTTCTATGCAAAATGAGCACAGTGCTTGGAAAACTGCCACCTTGTCCAGGTAGGGCAAAGTTGGATGCCTCCCCTGCAGTGAATGCAGATAAGACTGTTAAAGATCACCTGTCCTTTTGGCAAACACAAAGGTTTCTGGCCTCAAACAAACACCAGGTGATTTTACTTGCCTCCCACTTCTGCAGTTTCCAGCTAGGAAAGCTGTTGCTTCCATGTGCAGACAAGCACTCAGTCCAAGGTGCTTCTCAGTGCTTGTCAGTGCCAGGTCTCTCTTCTCCTGCCCATGGGGAAAGGAAATACCATCCTAAAAATCAGTGAGAAAACAGAAATACCTGCATTGAACCCAGCTGTCTGAAAGCTCTCTTAGTTCCAGGGACATTTGGATCCAAGTATGGACTGTGGCTCTCAAGCATGGCTTTTGCTCTGGGGGACTGAATGCAAGTCAAACTTTCCTGACAGCGTGCTTCACATTTTAGGTTGCTTTAGGTTGTTGATGTTTGGGTTTTTTTGTTTGTTTTTTTTTGGTTGGTTGGTTTTAATTCTTAATGAGTCAAATCAAAACACTGGATCAGGATTTTTCTGATCTTTGGAAAATCTGGGTTCAGCATCAGACTTGTCAGTGCAGATTCTCTCAGGTTCATATAGATGTACAGGCAAACTCTTGCCCTTCACATTTCAGCACCAGTTCTCCCGGTTTGTTTTTCTTCCTGTGGAAAGTTTTTAGAGATTGTGCAAACATGAAACTTAGCAGTTCTCTTCCTAAGGTTGCAGATTAGTTTTGTTTTTGCCTAATTAGATGGTCTTAAATGCAGCCCAGGGTATTCTTGGAGGAGAAAGTGGGACTCTTAGGAAAAAAATCAACAGAATAGAATAAGGAAGGAACGTTTCCCAGGGCACAAACACTTGAATTTGTTTTCCTCCCAGTGCTAATGGCCTTTTTCAGCTGTGGCCAGAACATTTTCATGTGTCTATTTTCTTGCCCACTTTGTCACCCCTGTCTATTGAAAGACAAGTCTAAAAGTAGCCAAAGCACTCTTCAAAGACCATGTTAGGAAAGAGAAGAGAGTAAACACTGCTCAGATGCCATTTCATTCTTGCTTTGTGAACTGAGATGTAGGAGAGAAGTTGCCACTTGGCAATGAAAGGCGGCCTAAAAAGCAGAGTTGTTTCTAAATGAGGAAGGAGAAGAGGCGTAACTTGAGCAGCAGCTGCAGCACTGAAAGTCCAAAGTGTTGGATAAAGCTGTGAGTGCCCTCTGACATGCCTGCCTCGAGTCAGGCTCCACTGAGCAAACCTCCACCATGGTACTACTGCACAGCCCTTGCAGAGCCCTGCACATCTGACAGCCCTATGGTTGAATTGCCACCTCCTCCGTTCTGCACAGGAAGACCAGTGGACTGTGTGGTCTCTCAACCTTTGCTTTTTTTTTTCCCCTTTCTTTCAGAGGATAAAAGCAGTGGCTGCCCCCAAGGAAGTGAATCGGTGGTCCAAAGAAACAGAGAGTGGCACTCCCTTCTGCCCCAATGGAACTTCGAATGGCGGATTGATCAAGCCAACTCATATCATTGTGGAAACCATGATGTGAGCTCTCTCTGTGAGAGGATAAACCTGCTTTAACTGCCGTTTACTAACCATAGATTCTCATAGGACCAGGTTTACAGAGCTTTATATTTGCACTAGGATTTATTTTTATTTCTCACAGAGAAAGTTATTTTTTGTGTGTGCTTTTTTTTTTTTTTTAATATTTTGTAAGGTAATCACAGCAGATGTCTCTCTGTAGAGGGAGAGCATTCATATCAGACTAGACATATTACAGGAATTTACTATTACTGTTTTTTTAAATATATATATATCTTTATCTCTTAAACGTTATACACCTTACCACTTGAATTGATTGTCTTGCCAGCAATATATTCAAGTCTCAGAAAGCAATTTTAGGTGCTGGTGTGGTTGGGAGCAGGGTAACCTACAGAACACACAAAAGGCGCTCTGTTGAGAGATATGAGAAGAAAAAAACAACAACAACAAAACACAAAGATGCTGTTTCAAGAGAATTTTCAAAGGTGTAGTATTTCCACCCTCTGGTTCGATTGTGGTAAACGACAGGCTTCAGGGTCACAAGAGGGAAAAGGGTGCAGTTGTGTTTAGCACAGTCCCTGAATAGAGATAGCAGCGGGCAGCTGGAGCAGGGTGTTTGAGTGGGCAGAGGAGCTGGGTGTGAAGAGCCTCACAGCCCTTCCTGCAGGCACAGAGCTGGGATCCAGGCACACAAACAAGAGGAGGGCTTGAGGAAGGGGATTCCAGGACTTGGCACAGCTCACTCTTTTATTATTATTATTATTATTATTTTTTGTTTAGGTGAAGTGCCTGCTGCTTGTGTGTGATCAGGCGGGTTGAGCACCTGCTCTTTAGTGTTCCAGCAAAGACTTTAGCAGAGAAGTCACTGGGATAAGCTTGAATTCTGCAGCCTGACCCCAAGCAGCACAGAGCAGCACCTGTGATCCTGGTGCTTCAGGTGTTTGCCCACTCACTCATTTGCATGTTAACTATTGGACTTTGTTTGGGGCAGAAAAATAATTTAAAAAAAAACACCAATCCTTTGTGGACTCTGACTGTCCAAAGGTGGGCACAGTGCAGGTCATCCCCAACACCAGGAACAGAGCCACTCACCTACACCTGGCGTAAGCACTGTTTATAGCCTTGTTAATAATAATAGTGAGGAAGATAATAATATCAGCCAGCAAACACGTACTTTTCATCCATGTATCTCGAGAATGCTTTGCTAGGTTTGGTAACCAGGATTCTCTTTATTTATTTATTTGGAGGAATTGGATTCTGTTGGGGGGAACAGACAGAAGGATTTGGTTTGTTAAAGCAGCAGTGGATCTGGTGTGTGCAAACTGCTGAGTCACAGCCTGAACCACTGATTGAGCACCTGGGAAAGGACCGGGTCAGCCCTGCGAGCACAGGTGAAGGCAATTGAGCTGTGTGACCAGCAGGGGTGGAACCTGGCTGCAGCTCTCTTAGACCCCATTTAAGGGCTGACTGCCACTCTGGAAGGTTCTCTGGTTGGAGATCCCTCCTTTGTGGAGTCTTTCCTGTCAGCTTAGAGCTTCAGAGATGGGTGAGCACCTTTCCTTTTCCATTGTAACACCGTTCCATCTATGCTGGTCCCTTTGCTGTTGCACTCCTGTATTGCTCTTCTGCTGTGTTGATCTTTCTGATGTTGATCTTTCTGGGTTCTCCATCTGCTTGCCCACCATTAGGTTAGATTGCAGTTTCTTTTTCAGGGTGGCAGACATATTTCTAAAGCCTATGGATATGTCTGCTAAAGAAACAGGACATAGGGGACTTTGAGTTAAAACAAAGGAAATGTAACACTGCAATATTTTGTATTTATTTGGTCCGAAGGAATTGTGTTCCATTCCAGGTTGACCTGAGGAATAAGGAAAACACCACTGGGAGGAGTGTGGCAGTGGGGGTGCAGCAGCTTTGCTGGGTGCTGCTTTGTGTGGGCCAGGGGGATGCTTCCATGGGGAGCTGCTCCCTGAAGACTGTCCAAGACATGGACAGAAGTCTTTTTTCTGTTTTAAACTTGAGCAGGTTGTGCTGGGAACAGATTCTCTGCCAAAACTCAGCTTTTTCTTGTGGGCATTCTATTTTTAAGGAAGGGTTTTTTCTTCTCATGATACCCCGATATTAGGCTATCCAAAGGTATCTAGAGGAAGTGACAACAGCAGAGCTTGTATCTGTTGATTTTGCTGTCAGCTTAGTCTGTCAGGGCAGATCTTGTCATTTCAACAGGAACATATCCAATTCGAAACATTCCTACTCAGAAGGTTTGATTTGTTTGTTCACGTCCCATGGACTGACTGGCTGCAGCAGCACACTTGTTGAATAACTTGTTGGTATTACTGTAAAAGCAAAAGGATGATTTAAAGTTAAGAGATGGACCAAAAGCAAAAAAAGATTTTTTTTTCTACTTTGAATTTGTACTTGTTTTTACATCACAGGGCTGAGTTGCAGCAACAAAACCAGCCATGTCAGCATTGCTTTTTGTTTTGTTTTTTTTTTTCTGGTTGCTGTATTACAGGAGTTTAAAGGAAACTTTTCCACAGCTGGAGATGGCAAACTCTTTGATTTCAGCTGCAGGGCAGTGGCGACTGCCTTTCTGAAAGCAGGAATTCTATTGGGCCAGGAGGGTTCTGGCTGGAATTTGCCATCAGATGTGTGCAAAATAAGGAAACAGCTGTTTTTGTTCTTTTAATCTTTTAACCATCAAGGACAAGGAAATGCGATTGTAGATGACTCTTTCAGTGGGATTCAACATGGACCCTTGTTTTTGAGTTACGATTAGTGTCTGCAGTGCGCAGGCATGCTTGCCTGGGTTAAGATTGAAGCATGAGGTTTGGGGGGGGAGTTTAAATTAATGGTTTATGTGAGTGTAGATGAAACACTGCTTAATTTACATTTAATTTTCTTGATATGTTGCCATATGGCTGCGTATGAGATTTGTTTGCACATCAGATTTGTACTATAGAGATGAGACAAGCTTTAGGTAGGGGAAAAAATGGTTTGACTACATCAAAAACGTCTGGTGAGTTCAGTGAGCCATCTCCCACTTGTGGAGAGCATCTTTGTGCTGAAAACCAGAGGGCCAATACTACACCTTTAAAAGTACAACAACCAGAGAACCAGAACCCAGCCCCATTTCGATGTGAACTTGTGCCATTCAAATCAGTTGCTTCCATGTACCATGTGAGAGAGTCTTGCACGTATGCAACAACCTCATCCAGGTGATCTCCAAGTACACTGCTCTGGCCCTGCTGTGCTTGTCAGCATGACTGCAAGGGAGGGCTGGGGCTCACAGAGAGCTAAGAAACGTTTCTGGAAAATAGTTCCCCTCTCCCCTCCAAAATGATTCTTTCTGTTTTAAAATGGGGTCTGAGTTCCAATGAGCACATGCACATTTTAAAGTGTTTTTTACCTGACGTTTTTTATCGGGTTTCTGAACTTTTCTTGTTGATATTGATAAATTTGCATTTTAATGTGATCCTCTGCCAAAATTATTAAAAAATGATTTTTAAGTCTGTGTTTCTACCTATTTATGATTGCAAATGCAAGTGATTTCTTGTTCCTGATTGTTTAAACATTTGTGACTTATTTTACCTGTTTTTTGTAAATGAGGAACTTTATACTGAGTTATCATGGCTAGTCATAAGTGAACTGGTTTGGATACTGTTAAAAATAAGTGTGGGTTTTGGCAAGAGATCTTCAGGATGAGAGCATTGAATGTAAAGACAGCAGAACAGAACAAAAGCACACCTTTCGTGTCCCACACACCTTTGTATTGCTCAGCTGCTGTGGGATTGGAAATGGCACATTTCCAGCAGCATTCCTTCCCAGCTGAGCTGAGATGGAAGATGGCAGAACTGCAAAGAAATTTGCACCACGAGATTCTCTGAGTTGTTCCTGATCTTTCTCAGTTTTCCAAACGTCTGTTGTAGTTCACCTGTGACTAGTTATGATCTTACTGAATGGGCATCTATTGTAAGGGACTTTACCAGTATTCTGTATTTTGGTATTTAAACAATATGATTTCATAAATAGAACTGGTTTTTATTACTATTATTGTTGTTGCTACTGTTGTCATTTACCTTTCCATCTATAGCTTTCCTTTTCATCTGGTCCAAACAGATCCATGCATTTAGAAAAGTCTTTTTTGAAGTGTGAGATAGTAGGTCCACCATGGATTTGTTCTTGTGTAGTAAATGGAAATATCCAAGTGTAGCAGCTGTATTTACCATCTTAAACAGTGCTGGTGTTCAACCTGCAGCAGCAATGCAGCTCAGGAGTGGAGAGTTAGGTGAAATAGTCTTGGAGCAGCAAAGCTGATTTCCACTGTTGTTCTTGGGGAGACGAGGAAAGAGAAAAGAAGGTGCAGCCTTATGGTTGGTGTAACACACACACAAAAAAATAAACCCATGTATCTGCAGAACCTTTTTTGCCACTGTCAGGGTAGTATCTTCTACAGAAGTTTGCACTCTGCTGTGTGTCCACCTTTCTCAACTGCAGATGTTCCTGTTCCTCTTCCTTGCCTCAGCTCTAGAACAGTTCAAACAGCTCTGAAGACACACGAACATTTCCATTCAATAGGCTTTTTACAAGTCTCCTCCAAGTCTGCTTTTATTTGCCAAGGAGATTTGCAGTTTTGGTGAGGCTGTGCTTGTCACACTGGGGTTCTAAGCTCCCACTTTGTGCCAATGGCAGTACTCCATTGGTGGGAGATTTGAACCCTTTGTATAACTGATTATTAGCTTCCACGTCTGCAGTCGCTGCAGGATCTTGTGTGGGGCCATAGTGTATATAAAATGTTAAATAAACTGTGTATTGAATGGAGTGGTCTGAGTTAGCTAAGCAGCTCAAATATCCTTGGAAGAAAGATGACCCTGAAATCATTTCCAAAAGATTCAATGCAAGTTGCTCACTTTGAGTAACAGGAAAATAAAAAGGTCTGTTCTTACATAGACTAGTAGATGAAATCTTCCACCTCTATAAGCATGCACACAGGTGGGGACATTGCTTCCATTCCGAAGCTGCAAATTATGCATATGACTTTCCAAGCTATTGGGATGGGAACTGAGATGGTTTAGGCACCGCTTTCTTAGGAAGTGCTGACCTCCAGGGCATCCAAATGGACTTGGCTAAATTGAGATACTGAAAGGGAGATACAGTGCCAAAATGCTGGGCCTTGGCCTTGCTGAGGAATTCTCAAGGTTGGACGCCTGGCTCTGTGCAAGTACAGAATGGCTCCTGCTGTGGGAGGTGGGAGTGCAGGGGGCTCGGGCAGCAGCCTTGGACTTGTTTCCTCCAAAATCAGCATCCAAAGCTTTGTGGTGAGGATTAGCATTTAATTGTGCATTTGTATATTTGCATGAGCAAAGGTTGGGAACTGTCAGAACCTAAGTAGCTCCTTTTTATTTCTTGTAATCAAAGATAAGATTAAGAAAGAAAGTTGTCAGTGGAGAAACCAATGAACAAAAGCAGCCCCCCTCACCCCCAAGCTCCATAATTCAGTCACAGAAAATGATCTGTTGGTATCAGTGGTTAATTTGAGCTTGCTGGAAGATTTGCTCAAGAATTACTTCTGGCACAGGCAGCCTGAGCCCCAGCTGGAAGTTGCCCCTTTCCCAAAGTGTGACTCTGCCATCCCCAAAAACAGCTGCTCCTGCACAACGATTCTCTGCTTTAAAAAGTAATAATAATCTGAATTTGTTCATTTCTATTCAAAAAGTAAAGAGAGGAAATAACTTTTTGCATGCTTCTTCCAGCTGTCAGCTGGTGATTCCAGCTTACCCACATCCTAAAGGTGAAAAAACTTCAGATGTGATTTGACAAAAAAAAAAAAAGGAAGAATTTCTCAGGTTTAAAACCTTAAGAAAACAAATAATCATTCCCACGTGGCCAGTAGAGGTGAAGAAGTTTGATTGCAGGGTTTGCCATTGGAAAAGAGCCTGACCCTGCTGGGTATTGAATGACAGCCCAAACACGTCCTTCTTTGTTTTGTGGCTTTGTCCTAATTGGAAATAAACTGTAAAACTGTCAGAGCGTAATTGCTCCATGCTTTACACAGTTCTGTGCTTTAGGAGCAAAGCGAATTAGAGGCAGTTCAGAAAGGGGTGAGATGACTGTGGAGGTTTCCTCCCTGTGTTGCAGCTCTGCAGCACAGCGCTGCTGCTCGTGTTGTCATAGAGCACAGGCAGCCTGACGTGGAGCAGCTCTCTGTGCTCTGAGTTGGTGGAAAAAGTGGGGAAAAATATGAAGGAAAAAAAAAAAAGGCAATTTGGTTGTGCTGAGGAGCTGTGCATGTGTGCTTTGTGTGCGTACAAGGGAAGGCTTTGGGCCCGTAGCATTGTACATGTTAGCATGATACGCATGGTTCCTAAAGCTCTTGCATCTACTTCTGCAGTTGAGATGTTAAGAAGATTTTTTATTGTTATTATTTAAAGAAAAAAAAAAAAAAAGAACAGTAGCAAACTCATGGTGAGAGGCCAGAAACACCCCTTGGGGCGCATCCAGTCGGTGTCACCTGCTCCTATCCTGCAGGGCAGTGAGGTCTCTCAGCATCGCCGCATCCCAGCGCTGTTCTGAAATGCTCGTTGTTCAGTAGGCTGTTGTTTCCCAGTGTGATGTGGTGGCTGCTGTTACCTGATAACGTTGCCGGGGGCTTCATGTTGTGAGAGGTGGTCCATCTCCTTTGATGTATTTGGCTGAAAAATAGTGGTGGTTTGTTGGGTTTTTTTATTATTATTATTATTTAAATTCCTAGCAACTGTGACTACAGTACGGTGATGAGTAGCACATATAGACGGGGTGGTGATGATGACCTCCTCAAAAATGTCATCTGGACTTTTTAAAAAAAACAAAAAACAAAAAAGAAAAATATTTTTAAAACATTTTAAAACTTTGTGTGCGTGTGTGCGTGTGTGCGTGTGTTCCAAGATGGAATATTTGTATTTGAAAATCCTCCTGGAGTGTAATTTAATCCTATGACCCCCCTCCAGCCTTTGTGTATATGGTAAATGTTTGTATTTTGCAGTTTCTGTTTTGCTTTTTAGATAAATGAAATGTATATGGATATTTTTAAGTCATCTTTGCTTTTTTAGATGAGTTTGTAATCACCTTATAACAGAAAATAAAAGTTTCCTTTATAAACTAGCTGTGCTCACTGATGTTTTCAATCTCTGAGCACCTCAGCTCTTCCTTTAAGCCCATTATTCTCTGTTAATTCACTTAGACAAATGGAGCAGTGTGAAGGTATGGAGATGGTGCCCATTTTTTTTTTTGCCCAGTTTTCTTCCTTTTTTGCCCCACTGCTGTGGTCACAGCAGACAGGATCACAAGCTAAGGGTGCAGAAAAGCTCCATGAGAAGGGAAGAACAACAACAAAGAGAATGAATTCATTTTCCAGGTGCATGGGATTTGTCATTTAAAGGACTCTGATGGCCCCTTCAGTTGGGCAAATGGAAGTTAAATCAGAAATGCTTTTTCCTAAGCCATGCGTGGAGAGGGGGAAAGGAAAGAAAAGTCATTTCGTTGATGTTTTTGGGAAGTAGAATGGCAAACTGCACAGCATTTGTGGTCAGGATTGCTGCTGATAACCCAACTGGAGCTGAGGGCATGGACCGTGTCCAGCAGCCCCCCAGCCAGGCTTCCCTGCTGCATCCTGAAGCTTTTAAAGTTGTTTTGAGATAGGATATCGCTTGGTTTTGACTTGGTTGCATTACTTTTAGCTGGGTGAGAGTTGAGGCCTTTGTGCCAGCACACAGCCTGCAATGCCTGGGCCGAGCAGCCCATCACTGGTGCAGACACTGCAAAGTGTCTCAGGTACAAAATAATCAGCCAGAAGTCCCACAGCACCACGTAGAGCTGCTGCAGGGCTCCGTGCTCCAGCCGCGTGTGGCTGTGACCTGCCCTGGGCTGGATCCCTCGGCCGAGGCCTGCAGGCTGCCGTTAGCAGGCAGCTCCCTGCTCACCCGTGTGTCCCGGCTGCACTGAGCTGCCCTTTTCTCTCTGCGTGAGGCAGAGCCCTGCGGTCACGTTGCATGGCTGGGTGTTCAACCTGACACGGCACCGGTGCCTGGGCTGGCGCCGAGCGGCTTTGGCACGGCCCTGGTGCCAGACATGTGAAGGGCTCTGCTTGGCAGCCCGTGCCCCGAAGACAGCCAGAGATGACCGATAAGGTTTGTTTACATGGCAATGATTCCCAACTCTAACCAGAAGTGTTTCCATGCCTGACCTCTGATAATTCCTGTGCTACCCACTTGGTGGTGAAGGGTTGCAAAACACAGCTCACCCTTTGCTTGCCAGCGAGCAGCAGTTCCTGATGGCTGTATCTAGGGAATGTAGAGCCTGCACTGTATGTGCTAGAAGTGTAGCAGTGTCCCTTAATCCCTCTGTAAGCAAAGGGAAGATAGCTTCCCTGTAAGGACGTGAGCTCTCCCAGTGGCTCTGTGGCAGTCGTCTTTTAGACGCCTGGCTCCAGAGGCTGGATAATTTGGCTCCTGCAGTGCAGCATCGTACTGGCTCAGGTTGTGCTTGGGGAGATTCAGGTTGCGCATAAGGGAAAATCTTCCTCTCTATAAGAGTAGTCAGGCACTGGAATGGGCTGCCCAGCGAGGTGGTGGAGTCACGGAGCCTGGAGGTGCTCAAGAAACATTTACCAGTTGTACTGAGGGACATGGTTTAGTGGGTGATATTGGTGATAGGTGGATGGTTGGACTGGATGATCTTACAGGTCTCTTCCAACCTTGGTGATTGATTCTATGACTGATGGATCTTGGGAATCCAAGTGCCCATCGGATCATCTCCCTGTCCCATCCCTGGGGGTTACCCACAGCTTTGCAAACACTGCCATTGCCACTTCACAGCCACCGTGTGCAGTGCTACACAAATATTTTGTCATGAAGTAGCCAAGGTTTGAACCACAGAGGCTTCCAGTGTGGCCAGTTGATGTAAGCAATATTATAACCATGTAAATATCTCCACAGCCATGGAGTATGGGCACCACAAGCATCTGGATGCAGAAAGCTGCAGAAAAAATCCCCTTATCTGCAGGGAGGGAAGCA